TTCATGTTCCAAATATTCATGACATTGTGTCCGTATTTACTAAGGGCAATTTTAATTTCTTCTAAGTCTGTAGAACAGTGCATATTTTTAACAATCACTTTAAAGTATCTTTCTTGCTTTGGTTTGTATGTGTAAAATTCAGTATCTTTCTTTTCAAGTTCTGTTACAATGATTTTATAAGCATCTGATGTTTTAGGTTGAATTTTGACTTGATCATTTCATAGTATTCTTAATTCATAATTCTCATTAGCACATTCATTTAGTAAGATTGAGAGTGGTTTAATATTGGTAACATTGTCTACAAAAATAGGAGGAGGCCTAGCCTCTTTTTCTTTCGGTGCAGGAACATCGGTTAAAGTATCATCGTCCGGTAGGTTTTCAAAGGAGTTAGAAGTTGGTAACGGTTGGCTTAGCCAGTATGTGCTGCTGGTTTTACTTTGTTTTTTTTTTGTCGCTGTACGTTGTCAGGACTAATCTTGTCTCTTTAACGTTTAGGTACCTTTGTCCAGTTGTCGTTCGTCTCATTAGGTGTATTTCCAATTTGATCTTGGGTAACATCCAAGTTTTTTCTTGATGTCTGTCTCATAAATAGGCCTGGATGAAATATCTGTTGCCTCATTACTTTTTGACTCGTGTTAGTTGTTGTAGGATCCTTCCTCCTCCTTGGGTCGCATTCCTCATTACTGACGGTCGTGACCTCCCTTCTGCATCACTTTCTTCAGTATGATGGTCTTCCATTTGTTCCTGTCTTTGGCTGTGTGGAGGGCATTGTGGACTGTCGAGTCTAGAGCGGTACGAATCTGGTCAGACCAACGTATGTGGCTGCGTCCACGCGGTCTTTTTCCCTCCAGTCTGCCGGTCACAATCAGCTTCTCGAGGTTGTCACTGTCCTTTCTTGCAATGTGGCCGAAGTACTCAAGGACTCTGCACAAACACTCGGATGATAGGCGTGAGGAGATTTTGAGCTCACGCAATATGGAGACGTTAGTCCGGAATGCTGTCCAAGGGATACGGAGCATCTTTTTCCAGCTCCACATCTCAAAGGCGTCGATGCGTTTGCGATATGCAGCTTTCAGGGTCCAGGTCTCAGTGCCATACGAAAAAATCGAGAAGACTAGAGTCCGTACCAGTCTGGTTTTGGTCTTTACGGATATGTTACAATCTCTCCAGATTTTGCCAAGCTGAGACATGGCGCCCTTAGCTATGCCAATTCTCCTGCGTACTTCAATATCGCACGACCCATTGTTGTTGATGTTGGAACCCAAGTGGATGAAGTTGTTCACTGTTTCTAGTCCCAACGCGCCAGTAAGTTCCAGTTTCCCAGATGTATCTACCACCATGATCTTGGTTTTGGACCTGTTTATGGAAAGTCCCATCTTCTCGCTAATCCGCTCCATTCGAACTGGAAGCGCATTCATTTCCGACTCGTTCGCTGCAAGAAGGGTTGTGTCATCGGCGTAGCGCAAGTTGGTGATTTTCACGCCACCAACTATGATGCCTCCCTCCCAATTCTCGCAGGTGCGTCTCATAATGTGCTCTCCATAGGCGTTAAACAGAATGGGCGATAAAATGCATCCCTGGCGCACTCCTTGCTGAAATTTAAAGGGTTTTGAGGTGGTTCTATCGACCTTCACGATACCCTGGCTTGAGCAATAGAGATTGCGAAGTAGGGCGATGAGATGATTCGGTACTCCAAGTTCTTGTAGGACCTTCCATAAATGAACCCAGTTGACACAGTCGAAAGCTTTGCTATAGTCGACAAAACACATTATTACTGGCGTATCAAACTAATATGCCTTCTCAACGAGCTGCCTGACATTGAGAATCTGCTCGCGAGTACCCTTGCCCTTCACAAACCCAGCCTGCTCCTGTGGAATTTGCCAATCCAGGTAGTAGCGGATGCGACCGTTAAGAATATGGAGCAAGACTTTGCTGGCATGCGAGATGAGGGACAAGGTTCGATAATTGCTGCAGGACTTGGTTGATCTTTTCTTGTGCAGCGGAAGAATTACGGACTCTGTCCAATCCTGCGGCCAATCACCATTTTGCCAAACGTGTGTGCAGATCTTGTAAAGTGTCGATATGCCCAAATCACCCATAGCATTAAGCAACTCAGTTGTTATTTGGTCGCTTCCTGGTGCCTTCTCCTGCTTGAGAGACTTTAAAGCAATAGATATTTCGGGTAAGCAATAATCATGGGTTCCAGTTCTAGATCCTTCCAGTCGGGGTTAGCTCCGGGCGCTGAGTGGGGGTCTGTGTACAACTGCTCACAGTAGGCACGCCATCTCTCGGCAATGCGGTCGAGCTCGTGTAATATAGTGCCATTGGCATCCTCAATGACCCACGATTTAGCTTTGAACTGATTGGAAAGGATTCGAATTTTCTTAAAGAGGTCTACTGTTTGTAGCTTGTTCGAATGTCTTTCAACGTCGCAGCAGATACCCTCAATGAGACGGTTTTTGTCGTGGCGACAACTAGCCTGGATAACTCTGCTAAGCTCGGAGTATTCAGCCATTATTGCAGGATCCCGCAAACCCCTAGTTTTTAAGTCTTTCCTGCGTTGAATGAGCTCCCACGAATAATCGGAGATCCAGGATTTTTTCTTCTGCTGTGGCTCCTTCTTCTTAGAAACCTGGTCCAGCGCGTCGTTGATATGGCCTTTCAAGTGCTCCCATTGTATATCAGCCTTAGCGTTTCCATGTACAGGACAAAGTTTCAGATTCGCCTCTAACGCCTCTCGGAAGATTGGTTGTTCAGAAGGGTCCAAGCTTCTGGGCTTTGGTGGTCGACGTCTAGGTGCTTGTAAGCGCAGCGAAAAATTGGCTACGAGAAGATTATGGTCAGAGCCGCATTCTGCGCCGGGAAAGGTCTTCACATTGGAAACCGAGGATTTCCAGCGGGTGTCTAGAATGATGAAGTCGATTTGATTTCTGTACCTATCGCCTGGAGATCTCCATGTGTACAAACGTCTTGGATGATGTTGAAAGTACGTGTTCATGATACTGCGATTTCTGTCTATACAGAACTCGATCAGTTTTTCACCCCGCTCATTCCTAGTGCAAAGGCCAAATTTTCCTACTGTGCTTCTGATGTGATCATCAGCAAGTGTACTGCCGACTTTGGCATTCCAATCACCAAGAATCATTCTAATTTCCCGAGCAGGAATTGAATTCAAAGTTGCCTCCAGTTTCCCATAAAAGTCTTCAATTACCTCGTCTTGAGCTTGTGCAGTAGGTGCGTATACTTGTATAATATTCAGCACACACGGTTTGGTGTTCAGTTTCATTGTCAGGATTCTGTCAGACACTGGGTTATAACCGAGGACATACTTGTTCATGTGTGGCGGCAATATGATTCCGACTCCATCCCTACTCGTATCTTCGCAGCCCGAGAAGTACATGGTGTTCCCTGCTGCAGTAGTGAAGTGGCCGTTCCCGCGCATGTGTGTTTCACTGACGCCCATTTCCTTCTCTACGATGGTCTGTTTGCCCACCATAAGTAGACCTCTGACGTTCCAAACACCAATACGATGTTGGTTTCGTAATGAGGTCTTCTCGATCTTAAACGCTGTTGCACCGACAGTAATATCTCTTCCCTCTGCGGCCTGTCGATCTACCCCAGGGAAAGCTTCGGTCACCAATTTCACACCATCCAGCCCGGATACTGGGTGGCGCCGATGGTTAGTCGGGTCGCCCAATATACTCATTCTCTCTGTTTCTGATTGCATAAGGGGGGTTTTCATGGGAAGATAAGCGCGGTGGGTTCCCAACGTCCTTCCGCGTCAGTCTTTTAGAGGGTATTTAGGTCCTCACAGTCACTGGTTACCGCCCTGTGAACGCTAGGTCCTCTCAGGGTTGTCGGGTTAGTTACCGCCGCCCGATACTCGGCGTTGACAGTTTTACGGCATGGGTAGTTCTTCTCCACACCAACCCTCCTCCTTTCTCATTCGGGCATGGGACCTACAACGGCGGAGTTAATAGGTACGGTACAGTAGGTAGTACGCGGGGCAGCCTGAGTTAAGCTCAGGGAGGGATTCTCCGGCAACGCGGGTACCCTCCTGGGGTAATTTCTCTTTTAGTGTTGCTTCCATGATGTTTGTTGATTTTAAATCGGGGTTGTCTCCCCTAGCCAGAGGTTCGGTTATAACGCCGAAGGCTCGCTTTTGCCCTTCATACTTAGCTACTACAGTCACAAGGCAGATGTTATGTGTGAAGCTTGTATCAAACTGTAGCATTGTCCGGGAGGGACGACCCACAAGTTGAAGTGTGGGCCCATCGCAAGACTGCATCGGCAGTTTTACAAGGGCGAGGACGTAGTATGAATAGGACTTGACGGTGCACGCCTAATAGCCCAGCTTCACACGCCAGGGCGTGCGTTACGGCATACTCAGTTTTTTATAGAAGTGCGTTTCCTGGCAGGAAAATCACCCCACTGAGACCAAACATCAATCTTCCCCCCCATTCAGGTGGGGTGGAGAAACTGTTGTTTTTTGGATAAAATGAAAGGTAATATTCGACGTAGGTCACACAAACTATAAGCAAGGCAAGCATTGATTTTATATTTTAGGTTTCACTTATCATCCCATCTTTAACAACTTCAAGACAAATATATTAATTCTAGGTGTTCTCTGTTTCTAAAAATATTTTTGAACATTTTATTTTATCGTAATCATAAATAAACATTTGCTGTAAAGATAAAGGTACTTTTTTGTACCGCATTGTTTGAGTTTTTACGTACACGATGAAGCTATAATTTTATGTAAAAAAAATAATAAGATTGCACATATTTATTACCCATAAAAAAAATACATGTTGTGCTAAAATGAAAATAAAATCAAGCTTACTCTACAATTTATTGGTTTTACATATAAGCCAAGCAATATCGGTGAACTCTCTAGTGCGATTAAAATGCAATGCCTGTGAACCACATCCTGAAAAATGTTGCATAGGTACGGCGTTATTAACAAATTTGATTTTAACTACATCGTTTTGTGCTTTGTCCTGTCAATATGTCAAAGATAGACTTCAAATTGTCAAAGCTATACAAGTATTTGTAAACAGAGAAATTAATAATTTTAAACGAAAAAGATATTTCCCGGAGCAGAGTAGCGTCGGTTTGGTTCTTACAAACAAGAACAGGACGAGAAAAATAAAATGCTTACGCCTTAGTGGCCTAGAATTGACATCGGCTATCGGTTTAAAAGCATTAATTCCTATATTAGATCCAGTAAAACCACGATTGCAAGTTACAATCATAACTAAATGTGAAAAAATGTTCCAAGGATTAAATGTTTGTGCTTCCAAAAGGCCATCTCAAGGCATCGTTTGCCATCAAGAACAAGGTATACCTTTAATTGTAGTAGGAAGAGTGATAGGAATAACAGCACAAATTGAGCCATATAAATGCAGAGATTTACAAACTACATTCTTGGCATTAGAACCATACCACAACTGGATTCAATCTGTCGTTAGTAATGTCAAATTTAATAATACAGAAATGTATGGGGTGTTAAATAAAAACAATAAGGGACATGAAGAACCACTACATACAGTAAACCCAAAGCTATATTACTTCAGAACAGGACTAGAAAATATTTTAACAAACGGCACTAAACAAACATTCGAATCGCATAATGATATAAAAGATATTGTAACAACTTTATCTGAAAACACTGAAACTGTGTTAAGGACAGTGCATAAGTCTCAAACTTCACAGCTTCACACAGAGGTCCTAAAAGAATCCGAACTCAAAAATAAACTAACATCGATGAATAATAAAAATAGTTTCAAATCTACCACATCAATTACTACGAAGCTAACAAAAGTTGCTCCAACAAAACCCGATGGTCGTACTGCAATTACAGCTAATCTCGATGTTTTAACTGCGGAAACTACCACTTGGCCCCCCAAAATGTTTGAAACGTCTGCCTTATCTACAGCGGCAAGTAATAAAGAAGTAAGAGTCGAACTTTTAACAACAAACGTTATGCAGTGGTTCAGAGAAAAAATGAAAAAAAAACTCGAAAAAGATTCTCCTCCCATTTTAATACTTACAACATCACGATCAGAGTATTATTTTGAACCAACACCTTTTAAAGATCTCACATAGTTCAGTACTGCCTGTTATACATTATCATAGATCCCGTGGATAAGACCTCTGGATAATATTACTTAAACAAAAAATCAAAATGGGTTCCAAAGTCATGATTATAAAATCAGGCTGAATAATAAATAGTATGAAGGTACCTAACTACTTTTTATTTATTTTATTTTGGAAAACAGCATTGGTGATATTGATGCCATAAATTGATTCGTGTGTAACTAATAATAAAAATGTATTTTTATTAATAAATATATTGTTATATTTTTATTATTTAATAAGTATAGATAATCAAAATTTATTCGATGACGAAATGAAAAAAAACATCCAGAATGATCACCGGTAGACCGACATATAGAAGCATATAATCATATTTTTCAGTCTATGTATAGTGGGGTCGTTAACCCCCCATTTCCGGGTTAAAAAGTATCCTAATGTTGAGACAAGGGATATATAGTTTATGATCTGGAATGAGTCCAGATCATAAACTATATACCCCTTATCAATAAACGAGGAATAAGCTTAGACTAGTTACGTCATGTTATGTTCATGTCACTCAAATGCTATTGTCATTCAACAAACAGAGACAAAACATGGAATAACTAATCTAAACTTATTATTCGTTTATTAATAAGGGGGTGTGTGTATCAAATTTCATCCAAATCCGTCCAGCTGTTTTCCCTTGATTAAGTAACAAACAACCGTCCACATTTATAAGTCCATTCGCTTTGGCGTGAGACAAAATGTAAACAAACCATAAAATTGATACTTTCTAAGGTCACGTTTGGCAAAAGTAAAGATTAAATACTATTTACATAGGAAATGCAGCGAAAATTTAAGTTAATTATTTTAAAAACTGTTACATACATATGAATAATGAAATAAAATATTTTACAATATATTCAACGTACATTCACATCATAAATTCGTATATTTTTAATTTGCTGGTAAAAGTATTTTAACAACTTAAGTTGACATGGAAAAAGACCTAAAAACACAATCATTCCCAAACTTAAAATTTAAGAGTAGACATGATACAAGTATTTTACGTTGCAATGTTGTGTTTTGTAATCGGTTGGTTTATGTCAGCCATCTTTACTCTCCCGATCAACCTGTATAAATCCAACCTGTGTAAACCTGATCAAATAAAAAGTAAAGACGGAGTCCACCGAACAAAAAAGTGAAGCCGGTTTTTTATGTATGTAGTGCATTAGCCAGTGTTACCATAGTCATTTATAATACCCCAATATTAGAAAAAATAATAACGTTATGAAATAACGTTATTATTTAATAACGTTATAACATATTAGATAAAACTATCGTAGGCTTATTCTCTAAACTAGTCCAGATTAGTTTTACACTAGCCCTAGATCCAACCTCTCGTGAGCCAAAGGTCCTGCGCTTGGAGATCTGGGGTTCCTGTGATTTATAAGTTTAATAACTGTTACACTAATAAAAGTTTAGTTAAAAAAATGGTTGCCTGTAAAGTCGGTTTTACGGGCGAAGATTTTACGTGACAACGTCTTTTTCTCGGTAGAATATTTATTGATATGAATATAATTAAATTGCACAATAGGAACAAGGAATTGAATGAAAATAAGAATTGCACAAATTTTAACTATAGAAATATATTTTGTTTACTAAAACATTGTACATGTAAACTTAAACTCATCGTAACGTTACCGAGCGTTACACTTTTTCATAAGTGACTCCCAGCCGCAACCTAATTTAAGACGTTGTCACGTCAAAAATATATAATAAAAACAAAGCTTAACCTTTGGAGTTTTTGGCGGAATATTGATTCATGGAGTGCGGTTAGCGTCATATTTTAATTATTCTTTAATTCGTTCAGAGTGAATATTGTGAAATAAAATTGGTGTAATTTTGTGTTTCAACCGTCTGCACGACTGAAAAATTATTGGAATCTTTAAAATAGAAATTAACCTAAGTAACTACATTAAGTTCAGTAAAAAAAACCATTGGATATGCATTTTATTTTACACGACGTAACCCTTTTGTTGTGTAGTACAAATCGTCGCTCTGAAAATGAGACGAACAAACCACGCTGCGGGAAGCTGGTTGCCACAATGGTTCATTTCTACTCTTACGAATGACTGCAATCCACTTCTCTTTAAGATTTTGATCTCGATTAGGAAATCGTAAAAAAAACGTATAATATATAATGTGTATTACATCCCAAAAAATTATACGAATACATAAAGAAAAAAGATAATAAAGATATTTCGTGTCATTGTTTATCCATGCATTACAATATTCGAATAATATAAAAGTATGCTACACAATGTATTTAATAAAATAACGTTACGTTATATTTCACGCTACCCAACAAAAGGGTAAAACTGTAACGTATAATCATGGCAGCATTTCATTCAGGTTTTGTTTACAAAGCGACAACCTCAAATTTGATTTTGATTAATTGAAAATATTAGTTTATAATTTTTCTTATGTATGAAATGTGATTCCATCCTGTTTTTTATTCTTGGAAGATTGGTTTCTACACGTTTTCACTACACAATTCGGCATTTTCTCTAATAAATATTGTTTTTTATTATTACGTCACACTCCGCGCGCCGGGATAGCGCGACTGGGAAGCCAAGGCGTAGTTTCGTTGCATGTGTGTGCGTGTAACTGTGTATGTACACGGCGAGGCGTAGTTTTATCGGCTTCACTTTTTTGTTCGGCAGACTCCGTCTATACTTTTTATTTGGTCTGAGGCTCCAACGAAAAGGAGCTCATGATAAATGTTTTTAAACATGTTGAAGAAACCTGGCCAAAAGATTCCTATCCATATAAAAGTGATATAATCAATAAATCCGCCGAAATACTGGGCATATCACGAGCTACTGTTTACCGGTTGGTGAAGGAAAAGAAAAGTACTGGCCGTATCTCATCACCTCCGCCTCCGCCATTTAAAGTATCTTTGTTGGATACATTGGACGATATGGATAAGGCTGCGATACGCCGCAAAGTCTACACATTTTTTTTAATAAGGAGATGCCCACCGTTGACAAATTATTGCATGCTGAGAATACAGATGAAACTTTGCCCAACTTTAAGAGGACCTCTATTTTCAAGTTGATGAAATCATTACAATTTAAATATGCGAAAAGAAGCCGAAAGAGTGGGCTTATTGAAAGAGATGACATTGTTTTATGGCACATCAAATATTTAAATAATATAATTCTTCTGTGAGTGTGTATGTCACTGAACTTCTCTTAAACGACTGGACCGATTTTGATGAAATTTTTTGTGTGTGTTCAAGGGGATCTGAGAATGGTTTAGATTCACAATTTTGTCCGCTGGACAATGTTTATTTACAGGACAACGTCTGTCGGGTCCGCTAGTATTTAAATAATATTCTAAAGCTCAGGAGCGAAGATAGAACTATTTATTACACTGACGAAACTTCGATAAATGAAGGTTAGTAAAATACAATATTAAACTACTTTATCCTGTGGGAAATTTACTTCTGAATGAAATTATATTTCCTTTTGTATTCATAAACTGATAAACTAAATTCATATTTTTATTGTTTATCATCAGAGTACTAAAATATATTAATTTCTATACACATAATTTTATTATAATATTTTTGTAAATATTGAATGATACTTATTATTTTCATACATGTCTTTATCCTGTGAAAATGTTACTCAAGTATGTTGTGTCATGTTACCAATTTTATTAAATTATTATTGTTTTTATTTTTCATAAGTTGTTAATGAACTTATATTTGTTACAGGACACACTATGAACAAAATTTGCCAAGATCATACAATTAAAACTGTGAAAGAAGCTCATCGAGAGGGATTGTCAATAGGATTGAAAAACCCAAGTGGAAAAGGGAAGCATCTGATTGTACTGCATATGGGCACAAATCAAGGGATATGTTGGTAAAAATAAAAATATATGGGTGCGTGTACTTAAGTACACAAAAAAATGATAGTCAACGCAGTCAATAAAGTTCAGTTTTAATTGAAAAATTTAATAATCAAAATATTCAATTTAAATCACTACTGAATAAAATTTATTAGCACATATAAATTTCGCATTTGTATAACATTATAACACGTGTTAAGAATATAGAAACTAGAAACATGTGGATAAATATTATAAATATGAAAACAGTGATCAGAGGCGACGAGCGTCCCAACATGTGCGACTAAGAGATCCTATTACTATTTTGTTGGAAGCTTTTTTTCGAGACTTACGAGTAATGTGCGGTTTAGCGGCCGACTTCATGGTGCTACTTTTCTGTTACAGTGTTGCGCGCGCATCTTAAAATTTCACTCTCATCATTTTTTCATAACGCGGCTAAAGAAGTATAACTTCAATAAAACATTTAAGATGACTGAAATTAAAATTAGCCGATGCCTTACAATCAGTCACAGCTGAATCGTGGAAATGGTGCATTGACCATGTCATAAAAGAAGAGCAGAAAATGCTAAAATGGGATGGTATTATTGATGATGTTGTGGATAAATTTACTATCAAAGTTGGTGGCAGTTCAATCAGTGAGTCGTCAGACATTGAATAAATATTATTTGCAAAGTATTATGTTGGTTTCATTTGAAATACACATTCTTTTATTATATTTATCATCAAGACAGAATTCATTATAATTTTAATATAGATTGCATAAATTATACCTAATCATTGACTAGTAGGTACTTTCTGACACTATAAAAGTTTTAATACCTCAGATTCTTTGTTTACATTTTGTCTCAAGCCAAAGTGAATAGACTTATACAGGCCTCCGCCGACTTCGACCGCGTTAACTTTAGTTATTTTTTATCCATCAGGAACCTATTTTTTGTTCGGGGTAAAAAGAATCCTATATCTCAATCCTGGTGATAAAATCTAGAAGGATAAGATCGGATGCGAAGAATTTACCGAGAACGAAACCAAAATCAGTGTCACACAAAGTAAGAGGCGTGTAATGATGCTCGAAATAAAAAGTGACGTTTCTGGAAATGTTGGCAATTTATGGTCGGATAATTTCTTCTACTCACTCTTATAACGTAGCTATAGAGGTTAAATTAAGCAATATTCAAAACTTTGGCTTTAATCGAGTTTTTCGATTCGACAGAAAATATATATTCTGTAAAATGTATTTCTGTCCTTCAGTTTTATTTTTACCCTTTTCCGCTCTATAACTTCATATTTTGTCGCTACACGACAAAATTGGACTTTGGAC